CAAGGAATCTGTAGCCATTTGGACGTGGTCGATGAGTCGGTCTGTTTCGGCATTACCGCTATGGGACCTATAGAGGCACACGTAGACGCGCGGATGGTCGTCGCTGTCTACGCGTAGCCAAAGGATGGACAGGTCCGAACCTTCAAGACTGCCGAGGCGTCGAGAACAGATGTCCTCTCTGACATACACGCAAACTCCAGCCCGAGGCACTAAGGAGTGCTCCAATTTGTACCCCGGGTAGGAGAGATACGAAGTATCAGCCGGAGAGGACACCTGCGTCTCGGTCAGAAAGAGCAAGGCCGGCTTTGCCGTCTCAAGATGGTAGTGGACGGCGTTTAGGTTCGAGTGAAGTCCCCTGATGTTGCAGAAATTCACGGATAGCGTGGCAGGGGTCGCCTTGGTCTTGTTGCTCAGTTTGCCCCGAGCAGTTATTGTGTTGAGCGGAATTTTGCCCCCCCCCCCCAGAATACGCGGGGCAGCCTGAGCACCCACGCTCAGGAGTGGAATAGCATGGTCTGGATGCTCAGCGAGGGATTCTCCAGGGGTACTGGTACCCTCCTGGGGTAGTTTTTGACGTAATTCCGCTACCATGTGGATGGGGGGGGGGGGAATTGGGCATCCGGTCACCTGCACTCACCAGACGAAACGCGGAAGCAGAGCTTCCACTTCACGCCGGTATTCTGTGAGGTCGTGGTACTAACCCGGCTCGAGCCGGCCCATACGTGTAACAGCAAAAGCTGCTGCAAGGCTCTACCACTGTAAAACCACTTGGAGGACAACATTCGGCGCGTTATTGCTGATATACGGCCACAAATGTTGGAAAAAGTTATCGAAAATTAAACCTCCAGATTAGACTACGTCCGAGCCAGCCGTGGCGGTCATATACAAGAAGTCATATTTAAATTATAACGCCAGAAGATTGTCTTTCGAATAAAGTAAATTTCATGTCAATAAAAAAATCGTGTTTGTTTTATTCCATTTCAAAGTTCTATACCTCTAAAAAAAACACCCATTAGTTGCTGACTACAACAGCTTGTGATCGATTGTTTATATAAGACGTGAACCACCTAAGCAGATCGCCGTTTATACCGACAGTTTCAGTAACAACAAATTATGTTGTATTCTGTCAAAGGCTTTACTATAATCGGTATAAACAACATCTAAACGAAAACAAGTCAAAAATGCGTTAAAGAGCGCAAGGTTTGAAACAGTAGAGAGAGAGACTTTAAACAAAATAGTATAGAATAGAATAGAATGATTCTTATTCAATATGGATTATTACATACTTATTGAAAGTCATTATTTTATTTACCACTGGTTCGGAAAATACCTCTGTCCTGGGAAGAACCAGCAGGAAACCCAGCGGGACTTTTTTTTTAAACATAATTTCACTTAACAATAATTTTGTTTATACAATTTTATATGAATTTTCATAGAACCAGCATGGTGGCGATCACCTTATTCCCAGGGGTTATTTTCATTCATGTATTCCTTGATATTATAATAACCCTTTTTGTATAGTTTTTCTTTAATAAAACTTTTAAACTTGTTTATTGACAAACTTTGAACATGTTCTGGGATTTTGTTGTAAAAGCGTATACCTTGCCCCATAAATGAATTACTAATTCTGTGGAGTTTAGTAAGTGGCACACAAATTGTATGAGTACAGTTAGAGATACACAAATTGTATGAGTACAGTTAATAAGAAAATGGTATGCTAACTTTTTTAATTTCCTTACACGCTCACGCAATATCTTAAAAGTTTCTTCGTCATGCCTCCGGCCATAGATCGTAAATTTACGTAAAAATTTATGTTTTTCTTTAATACCTTATTTAAATGGCGTTGTATACCATTTAGGATAAGTGTCAGCAACAATTAATTTTGAGGGGTCATATTTATCTCTAAGTGACGTGAATGTGCTATAAAAATATTGCACAGATTCATCTAACGTAACGATAACGGAGACATAACTTCACCCCATTGAATATTGGCAATCTCACCATTTACTGAATAATAGTCATCATCATTACAGCCTTTCATAAGTCCACTGCTGAACATAGGCCTCTCCCAAGGAATGCCACAAAACACGGTCCTGAGCCACCTGCATCCATCGACTTCCTGCATGTCTTACCAGGTCGTCACTCCATCTAGTGGGGGTCGCCCTACACTTCGCCTACCGGTACGAGGCTGCCACTTGAGAACCTTTCTTCCCCATCGGTTGTCGGTTCTTCGAGCTAAATAGCCGGCCCACTGCCACTTCAGCTTACTAATCCGTTAGGCTGTGTCGGTTACTCTGGTTCTACTGCGGATATCCTCATTTCTAAGTTTATCACGAAGAGAAACCCCGAGCATAGCACTCTCCATAGCTCGCTGAGCAACCTTGAGCTTCCTCATACGGCCATAACAGTGGTAGAGCCACGCGGCAGCTTTTGCTGTCGCACGGATGGGCCGGCTCGAACCGGGGTGGTACCACGACCTCACAGAAAACCAGCGTGAAGTAGAGGTTTACCTCTGCGTTTCGCTTGGTGAGTGCAGGTGGCCGGAGGCCCTTTTTACTGGAAATGAGGCATTCCATCTCAGTCCTCACGGGTGACAACGCATCTACATATTGATTTGTAATAGAGGATAGATGTAGATGTCTATGGGCCACAGCAACCACTTACCATCAGGTGGACTGTCTAACGAGATGTGTCGTAGTTTCCCGAACGCTGCCCAGCCGAGTTGAATCCGTCGATTGACCTCTCGGTCGAAGTTGGACTTACCTAGTCGGACTATTTGTCCCAGGTAAACATACTCGTCAAAAACTTCGAGCTTAATGCTCCCAACAACTACCGGCATAGGTGACATGGATATTAAACATAATCTTTGTTTTGTCCATGTTCATCTTAAGACCTATCCGTTGGGAGACACTATTGAGGTCATTGAGCATAGGGCTTAGGTCCTCCAGCGATTCTGCCATAAGGACTGCCAGGACTATATAGATTTGCCGACGATATAGACCAGGACAGGACTATATCGTCGGCAAATCGAAGGTGAGTGATGTACTCGCCATTGATGTTAATACTGCATCCTTTCCAGTCCAGTAGCTTGAAAACGTCTTCCAATGCAGCGGTGAAGAGTATCGGGGATATAACGTTACCCTGTCTTACACCTCTCTGCAATTGGATAGGTTTGGTACTCTGATTATGTACTCGGATAGCCATCGTAGCTCTACTGTACAAACACTTCAGCACTTCGATATACCGACAGTCAACTTGGCACCGCTGAAGGGACTGCAGCACTGCCCAAATTTCGACGGAATCAAAGGCTTTCTCATAGTCCACATACGCAAGGCAAAGTGGCAGATTATACTCCTCTGTCTTCTGTACAATCTGCCGTAGGGTATGTATGTGGTCCATGGTACTAAAGCCTTTTCGGAAACCGGCTTGTTCGGGAGGCTGGAAGTCGTCAAATCTGCGTGTAATAGTCACCTTTATGATATAAAAACTTAGGCGAGAATAGCTATTTAATGACTCACAATCAACATAATCAAAAGATATTAAAAGGGCATCGTGGTAAGGATCAACGGGAATAAGAGAATCTCCATTTATATCACGAACAGTTATAGCGTCGCTAGAAAAAACAAGGTCAAGGATCCTGCCATGGGCATTTTTATACCATTAAATTGTCTCAAATTTAGCGAACTTAATTCCTCTATTAATAAAGTTTCATTTTCCGAACTAATATGTGTACCTAAAATTGAACCGTCGGCGGCGTCGATATTAGGCACCCGTGTAATATCACTAAGATTAAAGTCGCCAACTAATAAAAACATATCGTCCGAGTGACTCATGACAATTTCGTTAACCGAGTGCAAATAATTTTGAAGTTGAGCAGCAAAACTGAGACCCCGATTTTCGTTACACAAATATAAAATACAAATATGCAAATTCTTGTGTTTTTACGGGTATTATGGTGAATAAACAACGTTAACCATAGGTCCTCAGCACTTGAATGAAAGGAAGGCTGCGGGATAATTTCTAGATCCTTACGCGTCGCAATCAACACGCCACCACCGTAACTGTGTAATTACTATCACGCCGCCATACAACGTATCGGTTATCAAATAATTCTGTATCACAATCTGTCCAGGAGCCAAGTCTCAGTAATTAATATTATTTCATAATCATAATATAGAAACACTACGCGACTATTACGTACTAGGCTATCCCTCGGCCAGGGCAGTCGGCGACGGCCCGTTCTACGCCCCGCGCGCCTCTTAAGGCCCCCGCACACATCCAGACACCCACACATAGCCATAAGCGATTTTACATGTACACATGCTTAAGTGTCGTTTCTGTTTGCTGCGTAGTGTATATTTTCTTTGATTCGGTGCAGCGGGGTGGGAGGGCGCGCGTCGCTTGCGCCGCCCGCTCGCCGACAAAGGGTTGTCTCTTTCCTTCAATAGTATTGCATATTCGTTTTAATTTCAATGATGCGATCTTATGATCTGTGACCCCGTCAAATGACTGTTGCGCGACAGTTCTCTAAGTACAGGTTGCTCTAAGATACTATTTCCTAAAATTTTAAATAAATGCGTAAATAATAACGTTTAATGGAAATATCATTTCTTCATGAAACAAAATTGTGAAAACGTATATGTATGTTAAATTAAAATCACCATTGTTGCTGCACGTTTATTGAACGCCCCACGTATGCAGTACCTTTTCGCTTTTGGAGTGATCATATTTGAATAAAAACTCAAAAATAAATATCAAAAGTGGGTAAATACTCAAGGAAAATTAGTTTTTTGTTAACTTAAGGCGTGCGTCAGCTCGAGCGCGCGCGTTGAACTCACTAAATTAGCCTCTTATAGGCGGCCGCATAGCATAGGTATATTTTGATGCCTAAAGCGCGGAGTGAGACAGGCCTACTTTTGACAAATATTTGAAATTTGAATGTATGTTGTGCGAAGCTTGGACAGAGTATTTGAACAAATATTTGAATTTTTGCACGGCAGAAGGAGGTGGCAATGCTGGTGGGGCGCGTGGCGGGCGGCGGCGCGGGCGCGGCGGCGGCGGCGGCGCGGCTCTCCGGCGCCGAGCTGCTCATGGCCTCCTGCGAGGAGCTGGTCGCCTGCCTGCGCCTGCGCCTCGGACCCGCCGTCAAGGTACACGTATACACACGCACAGGGAGACACAGAGAGTGAGACAGAGTGACGGTGTGATAGAGACAGTATGAATGGTGCACGGCAGAAGGAGGCAGCGGCGCGGCTCTCCGGCGCCGAGCTGCTCATGGCCTCCTGCGAGGAGCTGGTCGCCTGCCTGCGCCTGCGCCTCGGACCCGCCGTCAAGGTACACGTATACACACGCACAGGGAGACACAGAGAGTGAGACAGAGTGACGGTGTGATAGAGACAGTATGAATGGTGCACGGCAGAAGGAGGCAGCGGCGCGGCTCTCCGGCGCCGAGCTGCTCATGGCCTCCTGCGAGGAGCTGGTCGCCTGCCTGCGCCTGCGCCTCGGACCCGCCGTCAAGGTACACGTATACACACGCACAGGGAGACACAGAGAGTGAGACAGAGTGACGGTGTGATAGAGACAGTATGAATGGTGCACGGCAGAAGGAGGCAGCGGCGCGGCTCTCCGGCGCCGAGCTGCTCATGGCCTCCTGCGAGGAGCTGGTCGCCTGCCTGCGCCTGCGCCTCGGACCCGCCGTCAAGGTACACGTATACACACGCACAGGGAGACACAGAGAGTGAGACAGAGTGACGGTGTGATAGAGACAGTATGAATGGTGCACGGCAGAAGGAGGCAGCGGCGCGGCTCTCCGGCGCCGAGCTGCTCATGGCCTCCTGCGAGGAGCTGGTCGCCTGCCTGCGCCTGCGCCTCGGACCCGCCGTCAAGGTACACGTATACACACGCACAGGGAGACACAGAGAGTGAGACAGAGTGACGGTGTGATAGAGACAGTATGAATGGTGCACGGCAGAAGGAGGCAGCGGCGCGGCTCTCCGGCGCCGAGCTGCTCATGGCCTCCTGCGAGGAGCTGGTCGCCTGCCTGCGCCTGCGCCTCGGACCCGCCGTCAAGGTACACGTATACACACGCACAGGGAGACACAGAGAGTGAGACAGAGTGACGGTGTGATAGAGACAGTATGAATGGTGCACGGCAGAAGGAGGCAGCGGCGCGGCTCTCCGGCGCCGAGCTGCTCATGGCCTCCTGCGAGGAGCTGGTCGCCTGCCTGCGCCTGCGCCTCGGACCCGCCGTCAAGGTACACGTATACACACGCACAGGGAGACACAGAGAGTGAGACAGAGTGACGGTGTGATAGAGACAGTATGAATGGTGCACGGCAGAAGGAGGCAGCGGCGCGGCTCTCCGGCGCCGAGCTGCTCATGGCCTCCTGCGAGGAGCTGGTCGCCTGCCTGCGCCTGCGCCTCGGACCCGCCGTCAAGGTACACGTATACACACGCACAGGGAGACACAGAGAGTGAGACAGAGTGACGGTGTGATAGAGACAGTATGAATGGTGCACGGCAGAAGGAGGCAGCGGCGCGGCTCTCCGGCGCCGAGCTGCTCATGGCCTCCTGCGAGGAGCTGGTCGCCTGCCTGCGCCTGCGCCTCGGACCCGCCGTCAAGGTACACGTATACACACGCACAGGGAGACACAGAGAGTGAGACAGAGTGACGGTGTGATAGAGACAGTATGAATGGTGCACGGCAGAAGGAGGCAGCGGCGCGGCTCTCCGGCGCCGAGCTGCTCATGGCCTCCTGCGAGGAGCTGGTCGCCTGCCTGCGCCTGCGCCTCGGACCCGCCGTCAAGGTACACGTATACACACGCACAGGGAGACACAGAGAGTGAGACAGAGTGACGGTGTGATAGAGACAGTATGAATGGTGCACGGCAGAAGGAGGCAGCGGCGCGGCTCTCCGGCGCCGAGCTGCTCATGGCCTCCTGCGAGGAGCTGGTCGCCTGCCTGCGCCTGCGCCTCGGACCCGCCGTCAAGGTACACGTATACACACGCACAGGGAGACACAGAGAGTGAGACAGAGTGACGGTGTGATAGAGACAGTATGAATGGTGCACGGCAGAAGGAGGCAGCGGCGCGGCTCTCCGGCGCCGAGCTGCTCATGGCCTCCTGCGAGGAGCTGGTCGCCTGCCTGCGCCTGCGCCTCGGACCCGCCGTCAAGGTACACGTATACACACGCACAGGGAGACACAGAGAGTGAGACAGAGTGACGGTGTGATAGAGACAGTATGAATGGTGCACGGCAGAAGGAGGCAGCGGCGCGGCTCTCCGGCGCCGAGCTGCTCATGGCCTCCTGCGAGGAGCTGGTCGCCTGCCTGCGCCTGCGCCTCGGACCCGCCGTCAAGGTACACGTATACACACGCACAGGGAGACACAGAGAGTGAGACAGAGTGACGGTGTGATAGAGACAGTATGAATGGTGCACGGCAGAAGGAGGCAGCGGCGCGGCTCTCCGGCGCCGAGCTGCTCATGGCCTCCTGCGAGGAGCTGGTCGCCTGCCTGCGCCTGCGCCTCGGACCCGCCGTCAAGGTACACGTATACACACGCACAGGGAGACACAGAGAGTGAGACAGAGTGACGGTGTGATAGAGACAGTATGAATGGTGCACGGCAGAAGGAGGCAGCGGCGCGGCTCTCCGGCGCCGAGCTGCTCATGGCCTCCTGCGAGGAGCTGGTCGCCTGCCTGCGCCTGCGCCTCGGACCCGCCGTCAAGGTACACGTATACACACGCACAGGGAGACACAGAGAGTGAGACAGAGTGACGGTGTGATAGAGACAGTATGAATGGTGCACGGCAGAAGGAGGCAGCGGCGCGGCTCTCCGGCGCCGAGCTGCTCATGGCCTCCTGCGAGGAGCTGGTCGCCTGCCTGCGCCTGCGCCTCGGACCCGCCGTCAAGGTACACGTATACACACGCACAGGGAGACACAGAGAGTGAGACAGAGTGACGGTGTGATAGAGACAGTATGAATGGTGCACGGCAGAAGGAGGCAGCGGCGCGGCTCTCCGGCGCCGAGCTGCTCATGGCCTCCTGCGAGGAGCTGGTCGCCTGCCTGCGCCTGCGCCTCGGACCCGCCGTCAAGGTACACGTATACACACGCACAGGGAGACACAGAGAGTGAGACAGAGTGACGGTGTGATAGAGACAGTATGAATGGTGCACGGCAGAAGGAGGCAGCGGCGCGGCTCTCCGGCGCCGAGCTGCTCATGGCCTCCTGCGAGGAGCTGGTCGCCTGCCTGCGCCTGCGCCTCGGACCCGCCGTCAAGGTACACGTATACACACGCACAGGGAGACACAGAGAGTGAGACAGAGTGACGGTGTGATAGAGACAGTATGAATGGTGCACGGCAGAAGGAGGCAGCGGCGCGGCTCTCCGGCGCCGAGCTGCTCATGGCCTCCTGCGAGGAGCTGGTCGCCTGCCTGCGCCTGCGCCTCGGACCCGCCGTCAAGGTACACGTATACACACGCACAGGGAGACACAGAGAGTGAGACAGAGTGACGGTGTGATAGAGACAGTATGAATGGTGCACGGCAGAAGGAGGCAGCGGCGCGGCTCTCCGGCGCCGAGCTGCTCATGGCCTCCTGCGAGGAGCTGGTCGCCTGCCTGCGCCTGCGCCTCGGACCCGCCGTCAAGGTACACGTATACACACGCACAGGGAGACACAGAGAGTGAGACAGAGTGACGGTGTGATAGAGACAGTATGAATGGTGCACGGCAGAAGGAGGCAGCGGCGCGGCTCTCCGGCGCCGAGCTGCTCATGGCCTCCTGCGAGGAGCTGGTCGCCTGCCTGCGCCTGCGCCTCGGACCCGCCGTCAAGGTACACGTATACACACGCACAGGGAGACACAGAGAGTGAGACAGAGTGACGGTGTGATAGAGACAGTATGAATGGTGCACGGCAGAAGGAGGCAGCGGCGCGGCTCTCCGGCGCCGAGCTGCTCATGGCCTCCTGCGAGGAGCTGGTCGCCTGCCTGCGCCTGCGCCTCGGACCCGCCGTCAAGGTACACGTATACACACGCACAGGGAGACACAGAGAGTGAGACAGAGTGACGGTGTGATAGAGACAGTATGAATGGTGCACGGCAGAAGGAGGCAGCGGCGCGGCTCTCCGGCGCCGAGCTGCTCATGGCCTCCTGCGAGGAGCTGGTCGCCTGCCTGCGCCTGCGCCTCGGACCCGCCGTCAAGGTACACGTATACACACGCACAGGGAGACACAGAGAGTGAGACAGAGTGACGGTGTGATAGAGACAGTATGAATGGTGCACGGCAGAAGGAGGCAGCGGCGCGGCTCTCCGGCGCCGAGCTGCTCATGGCCTCCTGCGAGGAGCTGGTCGCCTGCCTGCGCCTGCGCCTCGGACCCGCCGTCAAGGTACACGTATACACACGCACAGGGAGACACAGAGAGTGAGACAGAGTGACGGTGTGATAGAGACAGTATGAATGGTGCACGGCAGAAGGAGGCAGCGGCGCGGCTCTCCGGCGCCGAGCTGCTCATGGCCTCCTGCGAGGAGCTGGTCGCCTGCCTGCGCCTGCGCCTCGGACCCGCCGTCAAGGTACACGTATACACACGCACAGGGAGACACAGAGAGTGAGACAGAGTGACGGTGTGATAGAGACAGTATGAATGGTGCACGGCAGAAGGAGGCAGCGGCGCGGCTCTCCGGCGCCGAGCTGCTCATGGCCTCCTGCGAGGAGCTGGTCGCCTGCCTGCGCCTGCGCCTCGGACCCGCCGTCAAGGTACACGTATACACACGCACAGGGAGACACAGAGAGTGAGACAGAGTGACGGTGTGATAGAGACAGTATGAATGGTGCACGGCAGAAGGAGGCAGCGGCGCGGCTCTCCGGCGCCGAGCTGCTCATGGCCTCCTGCGAGGAGCTGGTCGCCTGCCTGCGCCTGCGCCTCGGACCCGCCGTCAAGGTACACGTATACACACGCACAGGGAGACACAGAGAGTGAGACAGAGTGACGGTGTGATAGAGACAGTATGAATGGTGCACGGCAGAAGGAGGCAGCGGCGCGGCTCTCCGGCGCCGAGCTGCTCATGGCCTCCTGCGAGGAGCTGGTCGCCTGCCTGCGCCTGCGCCTCGGACCCGCCGTCAAGGTACACGTATACACACGCACAGGGAGACACAGAGAGTGAGACAGAGTGACGGTGTGATAGAGACAGTATGAATGGTGCACGGCAGAAGGAGGCAGCGGCGCGGCTCTCCGGCGCCGAGCTGCTCATGGCCTCCTGCGAGGAGCTGGTCGCCTGCCTGCGCCTGCGCCTCGGACCCGCCGTCAAGGTACACGTATACACACGCACAGGGAGACACAGAGAGTGAGACAGAGTGACGGTGTGATAGAGACAGTATGAATGGTGCACGGCAGAAGGAGGCAGCGGCGCGGCTCTCCGGCGCCGAGCTGCTCATGGCCTCCTGCGAGGAGCTGGTCGCCTGCCTGCGCCTGCGCCTCGGACCCGCCGTCAAGGTACACGTATACACACGCACAGGGAGACACAGAGAGTGAGACAGAGTGACGGTGTGATAGAGACAGTATGAATGGTGCACGGCAGAAGGAGGCAGCGGCGCGGCTCTCCGGCGCCGAGCTGCTCATGGCCTCCTGCGAGGAGCTGGTCGCCTGCCTGCGCCTGCGCCTCGGACCCGCCGTCAAGGTACACGTATACACACGCACAGGGAGACACAGAGAGTGAGACAGAGTGACGGTGTGATAGAGACAGTATGAATGGTGCACGGCAGAAGGAGGCAGCGGCGCGGCTCTCCGGCGCCGAGCTGCTCATGGCCTCCTGCGAGGAGCTGGTCGCCTGCCTGCGCCTGCGCCTCGGACCCGCCGTCAAGGTACTCGTATACACACGCACAGGGAGACACTGACAGTGAGACAGAGTGACGGTGTGATAGAGAATATAGGTGTGAGATATTGTACATGTCTCCCACCTATTGAATTCATAATGTAATATTTATTATAATATAACTAAAGTAGTAGTATACATTATGTAACCTCAATTTCTATTTTTTTCAAGGTATACGCGGCTGTGCGACAGCTTCGGGACTCACTGACGTGATCGCGGCCTGCGGCCTGCCGTGGCCTTACCATTTTTATATGACTTTCTACGCAATGACCGTTCCCTTTGACGCGAGTGTTGTGAAAGTCTAGTGCTTTAAGAGAGATATCGTGGTTGTTATTTCTTACACATCATTCTCCATTGTTGTGAAAGCTTTAGAGTAGAGAATGATGTTGGATAAGGTGCGGAACTATAAGTTTTAGGTGACTCGAAAACATGGTTTATTTTTATAATATTTAAAAAGTGATTTTGCCACTGTATATATTTTGGCTTTTCAGGCAAAATATTCTGTTGTAACTCAAAAGTTTAAGTTTTTATTGACTGAATAAAAATCAAGTTTTTGTGTTAAAAATAAAAAAGTGCGTGTTTACCGGTCATGGCATAAAGCTTGTTTATAATTGGTCACCTTCAATCGGTCTACTAAACATGGTAGTTAGAACTACTGCTTTTTCTAAAGACAGTAATTATAAAATGTATTGTTTTTCACATTTACATGCCTGCGTTTGTAAATTGATTAGGACTGACTAATAATACAGAGAAGAAATATCGCGTTAACTTTAGGTTTAATGGGCATTCAAATTAATGTCTATAATCTGTATAATATGATATCCCTGAAAGACAGTCCTAGTGCAGTATATTGGACAATACACATCAAAAATGTTTTTAATATAAATTTTGGTGCGATTACATCAAGCATAATGGACTATATTTTTGCTTAATAGTTTTGGTGTAGTACCAGATGGGGTCAATTGGCAGACAATATTTCTAACTTAAGCTGAATTATGTTTTTTTGCATTAGCTGCATGATTAAAATTAGCACAAATCGAAATAAATGTGAGTCAGTGACTGAGGTTGTGATATTTGCAAATGCTTTCTGTATATTTTGTTCTCTTTGTCACAACAAGTGTATTCTCACAATGTGTAATCAGTACTTCGAAGTTCAATGAACAATTTTCATATATATGTAGAAGATATTAGATTTTTAACTTCTAATACACCGAGTATTAGGAAATAAAGATCTAGTTCAGCCTAACCAAAGACGGCAAAAATATAAAACTTATCATTGTCAGATATAATACAATGTTTGTAAATAGATTTTATACCAAAATGTGTATTTTGGGTAGTCACATTTTTTAGTTATTGTGTAAATATATTTAATAAAATGGTAGTGCAATTTAGATTATTAGAATTGTAATTATAATGTTAAATTATGTGGTGAATATTCACCAATATTATTAAAACTACTATGGGGTTAGCCAAGTTGTCAAGCCAAGTCATTGTTACCACTATACAAATGAATTAAGTTTACAATTCCATTCATTTTTACTTTTTCTATTGGTGTTTGCCATAGTATAAAGTCAACTTGGCCAACCTTTTGATGTCTAATGTATTTTTATACAATGACAAATAAGCCACAAGACAACCTAAAACATTATGTTTGGTTAACTTTAATTATCCAAGTTTAACTCAAATTTGCTGTCGGGATCTATATATGAAATGTTTTCATGACAAGATTTATATTTGAAAAAATATCTCTATTTTCTTATATTATCACTTATTACTTATATCATTGTGTATGTTCTTATTCTTGGTCTTAAAAATATTTTGAATTGTAAATAAAACTATTAGAAAGATCATTATTGTAAATCTACTTTTTCCACATTTTAGTTTTGTTTGACAAATACGTAATTATTATAATTTACTTGAATTGGACAAATTGTTGCCATTTAAAATTTTTGCATTGCAAAGTGCCTAAAGTGCAGCTTGTAAATATATATTTTTTTTTATTATAAATAATATTCCTAATTTGGTTGTACCTATTGGTCACGGAATTTTGAAATGTGGTAGTGCCTTCTGGGAAACATATAATGTGTCTCATGAGCTTTTAGAATGAAATGGTTTTTTCCTTTAAAAATTCTCCATTTCTTAAATAAACTATCTTGCAAATTTAAATAATTAAAACATTATTTTAAAAACTGAGATATTAAATCACATCATGACCAAATGACATAAACTTGACTTGATTAATGAACTCTGAAATCATTTAAATTTTGAACATGTAAATGATCATGTAATATCAAAATAGCTAACAAGCATCTGTGCAATTGCTACCATGTAATAAGTAACAATACTCCCATTTGAGACATAATTACATAAAATTGAGGAAATATTATTGTTGTTATTTTCAAAGGTGTTGTTTTTATTTTTGGCTCATAAAATGCTTTTATTTTTTATCTTTACATTGCTATACTTATTTAAGTATGCAAAAATTTTATATGGAATTGTGAGCTCGAAATTGTTACTTATTTTATAGAGATGTGTAAATAGTGAAATGTTTGCATAGGTTACACTATTTTTGCAGTGGCCATGTACAAAGTTATGTAAGTTTTTACACAACATGTTTAGTGCTAAAAAGTGCCATTTTTAACGGCACATGCTATTCTAATCTGTTGTTCTGTAATTTAATAAAAGTTGTGGAATTATATTAAGTTGTGTTTTTCTTTTCTCTATATGTTTAAATGATATTCTGAGAATTTTCACAATGCAATATTTTTTGATTTCAATATTAATTTTTTTTTTTTACTTATTATATAAGGTAGTGCTTGACCACAATCCCAAAAGCCTATTCACTCTTGCCTTGCAGACGCCCAAATTGTATTCGACGATTAATCTGAATTGAAAATTGATTTATTATTTTTTATTATTAAGAAATTGGCTATTTTATTTTCAATAATAGTATTTTATCCGTCGTAGAACCATGCTGCAGCCTTATTATGGTTTAGCACGAATGAGTCCGCTCGATCGGGGAAGAACCACGCTCTCACAGAACATCAGCATACAAAACATACAAATGTACAGAAATTATATGTATATACAAAAGAAATATGCAATCGACGGTCTTATGGCTGACAGCAATTTCTTCCAGAAAACCTATGAATGGACAGGATTGCACGAAGAGGACTGGTAAGTAGGTTTGTAGTATATATGTACATACACTACAAACATATACATACAAACAATAAAATACATACATATTGAATTTTTAATTATATGCAATCAATATATCCTCGTAAGGCCCAGCGCGAAAATTAACTGCTTCTCATTTCAGCTCACGGTCCCCTTTATGGTACTTTTTTTTTATAGTGGTTCAGGCCCAGCACTAAATTTGTAATTTTTTTACAGTACGATAGTTTTATAGCAATATATGTTTAAGGGTGTATAATTTATGATATTTAGAAGCCCTGCACATATGTTTGGTTTCAATTGAATAAGTCCCACCTAAGGTACCATGGGTCGCAATGTAGTGTGGATTTTTTTTCGTGTACCAGAATTTGCAAAGTGAAATAAGCATGTTTTTGCATATTTTTATTTACAATGATTTTACTTAATCAAAATAAAACAATAAATGTTATTTTTAATTGAAACGTAATGTACTTTAAAAAGTATCTTCAACTTTTGAAAGTAAACAAGAATTAGAAATCTTTCATTTTAGTTATTTAAACTTTTTTAGGAAAAAATTGAACACTAGGCAGTCAATCAACTATCAGCCTAAAAACATTTATTCAAAAAATCTTAAACTCTCTTCATATCAACTTAAACTTCAATCTCTTTATCTCTTAAAAAAACAATAGGACATCTTGGCATTAATAATAGTATAGTATAGAAAGTTCTTAAGCAACATCTAATAAAGGAATATCTAAACAAAAAAATTAAGGCTTACTTAAACAATAATCAAAACAAGGCACATTATAATCAGTCTTTATTAATAGTAAGTCTTTATAAATGAAATGTAATTTATCTTAGAAGTATAAAATTAAAAAAGAAATTAGGAGTGGAAATCTTTGAAACAATTTCTTTCTTTTCGTAAACATAAATAGATGTTACACTTCGTGCATTTTACGGTGGTCTTCATTATATGACAGTGTCTACATTTGTTTCGAGTATCCATCATTTGCGGCATATGTCGGGCTCCTCTGGTCCTTTTTTCAGGTAGAGGGAGGTCCACAGTTGCAGTCTTCCTCTCTTTTTTTTTTGGTTTTTCATCTTTATCTGTTTCTGACTCTGTCTCTGTTTGAGTTTCAGATCCTGACGTTTCTGTGTATTTCTCAATCCAATTTTCTCCTGATTCCAACTTGAAGTCACGAAAATGCTGTATTTTTTTAACAGGAATGCCCTCTGCGAGTTTATCTTTTTTATATAGAATCCAAGCATTAGAAGCAGCCAGGTCAATTAAATGTGAAAACACCCGTTGTGTCCACTTTTTGGTACGAAACGGTATGGACACATCGAGAGCATTCGGTCTGCAAGGTCTACACCACCTATGTTGTAGTTATAGGCTTGAACAACCTTGGGTCTTTCTATTTGAATATATCGTCGCTCTGATTTTTGCCATCTGGCACATGTATCTGTTGGGTCTTTAGCGTACATCGTTGATAACATAGTAACTCCTTTATTATCGTACCATTTTGTTATGGCCATATTTTCTGAAGTGTTCACCAATACTTGACATGAACCGCGACCTTCTCTTTTCATTTCACGGTCTTCTTTAATCGTCTCTCTAGCTGCAATTGGGATCCTATTTTTCATTATCGTTCCGGTACATAGAATATCTCTTTCTTTCAGCTCTCGTGCAAGCCTCGGGGTCATAAAGTAACGGTCGAAGTAAAGTTTGTGACCAGCAGACAAAAAATCGTCAACTAAATTCAACACGGCTTTCTCCCAAGGGTAGTATTATCATATCGAGGATATGTTGTTACTCCTTGATATACATCAAAATTGCATACTAATCCATTGGCATTTGCCAAAACAAAAACTTTAAGACCAGTAGGATTTGGCTTTCCTGGTACGAATTGTTTTATGCCACATTGTCCTGTAAAAGGAATGATCCTCTCATCAATGCACATATTTTAGTCTTTTTGTTGTAATTTGCATGTTTTTAGGATAGTATCTAACAGTGGTCGTATTTTCCAAACTTTATCTTTGTCACGTTGTTCACTTTCAATATCGTCATCGAAAATAAACTTGATCGAATTTCTTAACAGAAAAAAACGGTTCCGGGACATACTGCTTGCTACTATTGGGATTCTGTACTTTTTCTCCCAGTACATACGCAGTCTTGGTAATCCAATAGCACCCATAGCTAACGAGATGCCAATGTATATATACAGCTCTGACTCAGTCAAATTAAGACTCCTTCCAATATTTTTTACAAACGTTTGATTAGATTTCACTACAATTAAAGCAATCAACTCGTCATCCAAATATTGTTGAAAATAGTCTTGTTTGCTGTTAAATTGATTAGAATCAACTTCCATATATGCAGGCCGGAAAAATAGTATTTCTCGAGGAGGAAAATCAGAGGAAGTCCACGTGCGACGTTCGTGTAATTCTACATCCTTAGAAGAACCAGGCGCGTTAGAACCTCCACGACGACCTCTTGAAGAACGACAACGAGTAGATTTTCTCGACCCTCTACGACTTCTCGTAGAGGATCCACGAATTACACTTCTATTACGGGATGCAGAAAGATCTGACAAAGGGGTATCGTCGTCACTCGAGCTATCAGGTGACGTCGTACTTTCATTAGTCTCCGAAATTTCATGGTGCATCAAGTTCACATTGATTTTCTAAGTCACTATCTTCTCCAATTTCTGAATCACTGAGAGCAAGAAGAATTTCATTCTCATTTAAACCTAAAACAAAAAAAACTAATGTAAGTGAATTTGTACATACAAAAAAATAATACATACTGATCATAAAAACATGCAGCTAAAATAGACCATACTACTTGAGGCCCGGAGTGGCACTAGCGGGACTATTTTTTTCGGACAGTCAGATTAACTACAAATACTGCTTTAAATATCAAATAAATAACTTGCAAAGACTAGTAATAAATGTTTTCTCAGTTTTAATCCAAAATTCTTCTGAAATACAGAGGATTACATTAATATAAGTGGATTTAACTAACCTCGACCTCGTGGAGTTGCCATCGTGCCAGTTCAAAGACAATGTGTCAATAGAAAACAAAAAAATCAGCCAATCTCCGATCACTAGTTGACAGCCATAGTTTTCGTTCAGAAATTTTTAGTAGTCATTTGTCAAAGGCGCCAAATTCGAAATCACTATGACGCAAAATTGAATAAGTCCCCTACACGACACCTTGGGTAGCTACGAGTATCTATATTTTTTTGGAGCTGGGCTTGAATGTCTATATTAATTAGTACCTTGGACGACCCCATGGGCCTTACGAGGTTAAACTACATATTACCTATATTATACATATTTAATGGCTAGTGTGGAAGCGAACTTAAGTACAATTTAAAGTGCGAGTTAATGATTCTTGACTGGTTTTTAACGCTAGGGATGGTGCGCGTTTTACTGCCATTGGGAGTTCATTCCATAAACGAACGACCTGTACAGACTTGTTCATAAATTTATTAGTGTGTAGTGGCCATAGAATTATTACGCATAGAATACTAGTACGCGCGCCGAAAGTGAAGCAAGTAAAACTAACGCGAAACCGCGTAAGTTGATTCAGCGTCAGCGACGCGTCAGTGCAAATCGTCACGTCTTACGAAGAAGAGCTCGCGAAAAATTGTAAAAATTACCGTTTGTGTTGTAAAATATTGTCACAGCGGTGATTGATAAACATAAAAGAAGTGATGGTATTACATTTCACATATAACTTTATACATTTAATTCATTATAAGTATGTAAAACTAAAAAAATACTTACCTAAGCTCTCATAATACAAATGTTGCTAGTTGTGGGGAAAAAAAATTAGAATTTTCTTTTAAAAATATTTGTTTTCTATCTGTGTTTAAAACGTTTAATCGCAACACTGTGTATATAGAGTTTTGGCGGGAAATTGACCGGCGGCGGTTTGCTGCTCCTGTATTATTGTTTAAATAATGGTTTAAAGTGGACTTTGATATGTAAAAGTGTTGCGATTTTGTGTATTAAGTGTCTACGCATGTGAACTATTAGTGGAAACAGTGAAACAAGTGCTCTGATGGTGATGGATTCTCAAGATAAGCTGTTTGTTTGCATAGGCACCTTTAGATACCATCGCCAACTATCAGCTGTCTGCTGGATCAAGTTGCCGCCAAAATCTCCCAAGAACTGCACAATGTGACGCATCAACATATTGTGAAGCAGTATACTATGAAGGAGTGGGGAAATTGCAATAAACCGAATAAAAATACTTAAGACTTGGCCTAAAGGTCTAGATACCAGGCCATAAACTCCAAAAAAAAATGTTTATATATAGATACCTACTTCTCTAAGGGTTAACATTATATTAACAATGGGTGCATATTTAAAACTAATACAGAGTGATCAGCTAATCGCGATTCGTTGACGCCATTTTAACGCAACTATTTTATTTTAATTGCTTTGTTTATTGACTAAGGCTACGTTTTAGAGTATAGAATAAAAACTTTTATTTACAACATCAAGAGATTATTAATAAGAACGCCTTTACTAACCAGATGTCACTTTACACCCAAACATTAACCAGATGTTACGTTAGACCCAAACATAGCCTATTTTAACCGACTCCCAAAAAGAAAGGTTATCAATATGTATGTATACTGATTTCTAAGCTTAATCAATACGTATATACATGCAGAAAATTTTAGTGGTTGTTGTCCCGCAGCCTAATTATACTGTCTCGATAATAGAGTCAAGTAGGCACATTCGACTCGCGCCCACTAACATAATGACCTTGCATCATTTTAACGCTCGTGTTTGTACTAGACTGCGTTTCTATGCTTAATAATTCTATGGTAGTGGCATATTCAACTTCAAGCTCTCTGCTATCTCCGGTTACGCGAATGGAATGACGAAAAAACAGAAAATTATTTTAGAGGCTAGAAGGATATAAAAGGAACGAGCGTTCCGATGAAGTTGTATTTGCAACCACGAGCTTAGTATGAAAAAGAGAGACAGTCATATTTGCGCAATCCAAATATAAACCTTATACAAAAATTCTGAATTCGCTCAAGTTTAAAATAACCGCTGTTATTGTACTATCGTAGCAGTACCCTCGGTGTACGTTCCTTGAATCATTGTCGATTAAACAAACACAGTTATTATTCCCTATGAAACCCATAATAAGTCGGAGGATAATTTGACGGAAATATACATACATATTGTTACGGACGGCGAGGGGAGCCGCCGCCCCGTCGCCCATTCATACCCCATTGCCTCCCGCGCACCCCGCACACCGCCCGAATATCACGTGATGCCGTCGACGAATCAGCGCGCGGCATTACCTCACGACACTACTCACATGCCGAGACACTCCCTTTATTTTTTTTTACTAATACATATATATAATCTGGCCTCTTTCCCGTAGTGGTAGGCAGAGACCACTTCTTTCCACTTGCTACGATCCTTACATACTTGTTTCGCTTCGTCCACTTTCATTATTCCCTTCAAACATGCTCTTCGGTTTAGGATACTCTTGACGTGACCTTTCGAATCGAAAATATACCAGCTCAATTTAAGTAAATTTGTACGTGGTAGGCCTATGCTGCAGCTATGTTAGTAGTATAGTTGTAGCACGAATGGGTCGGTTCGACCGGGAAAGACCCACGCTCTCACAGAATACCAGCGTAATGTAGAGAACCGAAGACCCTTTTTACTGGAAACGAGGCAGGAGTGACAATGCATCCACATTATTTTGATTCTTAATTGAGGATAAATGTGGATGTCAATGGGCTACAGCATCTACTTACCATCAGGTGGACTGTGTGCTCGTTTATTACTCTCATTCTATAAAAAAAAATTATCAAACTGAGCTTTCGTGAGATCTAGATATATGATGTTCGCATAGTCAAATATAGGGAAGAGAAGAGACTTAGCAAGCATAATTTTGGTGGAAATGGGAAGAAAGTTACGTAATCTACGTAAGGAGGCTGCAGAGGCGTAAACTTTACGATTATTCTTTTTGATGTGCTGTCCCTACGACAGTTTTTTTCTGTGTGGATCCCTAAGTTCTTTATTGAATCTCTGTACGGAATAATAGCTTTACCAAAATACTATATGAGGCAGGTAATCAAGGCTCGACTTAACCAACATTTTCGCGTAGCGTACAATAATGCCTTGCAATTTTGATGTGTTAATTTTATTGTGAAGGCCGTATACTACACTAAGAATTCGTTCGAGTTTAGCAATAGGGACATGGTTGGGTCAAGCTTTTCTTATCTGATCTATACGCATCTGTAATATGTTGTAGGAGGAATTTAAATTATTTTATATTGAGTTTATAAAAACTGAAAAAAAAGGAGATTAAACGTCTCCCTGTAGTACATCAACACATACGTTACACCAAGATGATAAATGATTATATATCGTCGATGCGTATACGTTGCTGGTGAACAGACAGGCAACTTCGGAACCAACCACAAACACTGTTGGAGATACGTTAGCTGCATGCAAAATACATAAGAGCAAAATTCGCGGGAAAAAAATGACGTGTACTGACTGAGTGGCGAGTGGTTTTTAAAAGTATAGATGCGTGTGCATCATACTCGCTCTAAATTGGCAATACGAAAGTCAGGTAATTGCCCGACTCGCATTCAGTCAGGCACGCTCATGCTCTCGCGTCGTGACTATACCTTCGCTATAGCGCGTAAATCTTCTAGTTATTTGTGGCAAAAATGCCTTCCTGTGTTTTTAGGTGGTGCACATTACACGGTAACTATTAGAGATAAGAAAAACGTCTTATTAATATTTTGAATATAGATGTTTTTTTCATAATTGGTTTTATTATTTCAACAATAACCGCTAGTGTAAGCGTTGACGCTAGCTAGTAAACGTAGTGATTATATTCTCTTTGCTAGCTAGTGTGTTCATTTTCCATATCGGTATGTCACGCGCTCGCGCCAATGAGCGCTCGGCAGCAATCAATACGCAATTAATGGTGTATATTCATCTTTTTCTAACGATAGGTATACCCTATCATTTGTCTCTATTTGTTAGCGCAACGTGTCATAATAAATAACTGTACGTAGATAATTAGATATAGTACTACCTGCGCCACTTTAAAATACAATAATATTAGTGTGTAACCTTTGATTATATACATGTCTAGATACCACATTGACCGTACCGAGCGGCCCAAATAAAGTCTACTAAAATTGGTAGACTCGCTTCTCACTTACGTCAGTGTCATTTGAATCACTTAAGGATAACGTGCTCATGAAAAATAATTAATTATGCCGGTTTGTGCTGTCAAATTGTATATGTAACACGATATTTTAATTCGTTATTTTGTAGGTTTGTATCATTAGCCGGTGTTGTCAGCTTATTACTAGGGAGATTTAGCAAAACTATGGGAGACAAAATACAAATATCATTACATCATCTTTCGATCAAGAGAACATTATTATTTTAAAAATTACATTATTTATTTGATCAGTACATGATAATTTACCTACAAAAAATAAATGAAACCCGTGACGTTATGCACTGAATAGTATTTTTGTTAGTTCTTTCTAATATTTTGGGTTTTAGAATTCCTTATTAAACGAGTATATAATGAAAGCCTCGGCCGTTTTGTAGCTATCTGGTTGGGTTTTGTTTATTTATTTTTGTATTTTATTTTATTGATATTTATGTATATTTAAAATTTTCATTTATATGTTTACAAAACTATAACTAAAATACATAAATACCAAAAGTAATCATATAAATACCAAAAAATTATTCGTTATTTATTTGCTAAACATGGTACCTACATCAAATATGACAAATAGTTGTACATAGTATACATGCGAAAACTATTTAACATAATATATTAAATCATTATTTTTATAAGGGAGCAAGTCAAATGTATATATATTTACTAATACTGATAAATAAAATGAAATTAAATTAAAATTACAATTCATGATTTTTATTTTATAAGTAGGCAAATCAAATTAAGTGTATATAGAAAAAAAATTTAAAAAGTCAAATGAGTATGTACTTAATCTAATGGGAAATATTCAAGAGCTGGTATCACTCAGCTCGCCCCCAAGTGACGCAGCGTGCTTGTTAAACAATATTAGTAACGCATACTTGTGTGCGTAATATGCACACAAGCGTTTCAAAACGGACCGGTCGTTCTTGTTGCGATTGCAGCGCAATGCTCTATCTAGACATGTATATAATCAAAATGTGTAACCTGTCTATCTTTTTTAATACGTCTTTGGCGCTCAGCCGAAGGCACTGTCTCGCCACTCTACTCGGTAGGTGTAATCAAGCTATAAGAGAGCGCATTATACGGAATAGGACATCATGGTCAACGATATTAGAAGCATAAACAAAGAACAGTCACTAGAGTAATTTTAGTGCGTAGTTCAATTTACTCTATACGTTCTTTTATGGTTAGGGTAATTTATATTATAATTAAACAAGTTAACCTATAGTTGTACTACAGCTGACGTAGTCGACGTACTATGAACGAGTAGTCGGTTTACGAATAATAAATGGACTAGGGGAATCCGTAGACGACTAAAGCTGAACGCACATTTGTCTGCACCGTACTCGCCAATTTTTACTGATGGCCTCGCACCAAAGAGTATAGTAACTGTCCTATACAGAAACCTCGCACATTTGCACGCAGGCACCGTCCGCGCCGTACCCGTACGCAAATCTTTTGTATTGCCAACAACTTCTGTGTTTTTTCCAACCCCTGCAATGATGTGAAACTATGGAAAAAATATAGTTATAGCCTGCTTATTGATAGAGGAAGAAGAAAATAAAATTCGCAGTAAGAGAAGATTCTGGATTCATAATATTAATTTAAAAAGGCAATTGTATGGAGAATATTATACTTTATTTAAATACTTATTAGATGATTATGAACGATTTTTTAGATATTTGCATTTAATATACAAGGAATTTCAAGAATTGCTTCATATACTAAAATCATATCTTTCTATAGAAAGCTCAAGATTTAGAACGCCAATTTAACTAGAGCAAAGACTTGTTGTATGTTTGAGGTAAGTATTTTTATTGATAATTAAGTAATCAGGTATAATTGGGTGTTTGAATTAAAATTAACTATAATTTTTTTTAGTTCACTAAGTATTATTAAGTGTATATTATATTAATAATTGATGCAAAAAAATATTACCGATTAATTAAAAGTTATACAAATACAAAAATTATTACGTAAGTCAAAGTCACCAGTTTTAGTGGAAAATCCACTTAGTTGGCAATATTAGACAACACTGAGTATCGGCATGCGCCCAACGCGCCGCGTTATATGACGTCATCAGCATGCGTCCTTCAATATTCCGATAGCTTGCTACTTTATCTATGGGTATTGGGTATGGTTACATTAATGTACTCTGTGGTTTATTTAAAGATGTCTTTCTCAAAGTGGGCTATAACGCCCCCTTGTGGTTTTGGAGACCTAGGGGGTCGTTAACGGGCACAGAAAAAATGGGGGCATTGGCGTAGTTTAGGGGGGGGGGGGGATGGTTAATTTATAATTTCATTTAGATACTTTATATTTTAAAATTTACTAAAATTAAAACCTACCTTCCTTCTACTCAATACCGAATAATTAGTTTATATTTTTGCTTGTATGATGGCATATAAACTAGAAATACTTAACATAGATTTCGTAGGATAGCCCGTACGCCGTACGCAATCAAGTTGTAACCAATTTTTGTTAAATAACGCTATTGGTGCAATCCAGTAGCAATCGGCTAGTTCATCGTTACTTGTTTTAACCTGCTCAGTATTATTGAGTGTCGAAAGAGATAAACGGGTTTGTGCGTTTTTGTCTTATTTCTGTCGGTACGTGCTATATTTAATTCCTATATAAAAGCTAGTAATAATTTTTATATTTTCATTTGTGGTTTCACGCGCAATCTTTAAACAAGTATTTAAGTTCAACACTTTATTTACATATTTGTAAAAACAAAGCCTTGTCGGAAGCAAAAATGAAGAGACGGCAATATAGTGCCAGAATATATTAAATATGGATTCATAGAAGATTCGACAAATCCATCTTTGCCTTTGTGCTATCTTTGTTCAAAAACATTTTCAAACGAAGCGAAGAAGCCTTCAAGACTTAATGAAAATGCAAAGAAAATGCATCCAAATAAGAAGGACAAAAATGTAGCCGATTTCAAGCGATTGATCTTTCACACAGAAGTGCGTTTGCTATCAAAAGGAAATTGATTGACACGATTTTACAATCTGTTTCACCCTGTCGTAGAGTTCTTGGAAAACAAAGACACAGAATTGCGCAACAATCTCATCACATCAAAGAATGATGATCCTGACAGTTCTTTATAAATTGCTTAATGATATGAATCTCCAAATTTAAGGCGATGACTTGAAATTAATAAAAACAAAAAATGTCATCGCTGCTTTCGTAGCCAAGGTGCTCTTACACAAAAAGAATATCGGCAGACATGAGTTCCATAATTTTCCCAATTTATCAGTACCCTGCAACAACGACGACTTGCTTGTCTACTGCCAACATTTAGAAAATCTCCACAGTGATTTCATTGAAAGATTCCAGGACATTTTGAAATTGGAAATACCAGACTGGGTATTAGATCCTTTTTCAAATGTCAACATAGCAGTATCACCCCAACTGGAAGAAGAACTCATAGAACTGACAACGAACGAGGAAAGAAAAATCAAATTCAAAAAAGGCTACTAAGAATTTCGGCTACAAAAGTCAAACCCGCCGGGTACCCTGGATTGTGGTCGATCGTTCAACGATTTTTGATAGCATTCCCATCGTCATATTTGTGTGAACATGGATTTAGCGCTGGGACAACGCTGCTCACTAAAAAGAGAAATCGTTAGCATGTTACCGAACTCGGCGACTTACGACTGTTTTTGAGTAAAATCGAACCTGATATCAACAAACTTGTTAAAAATCATCAAATTCATCGATTTCATTAGTTTAGTTTTAAAACTAAAATTGATTACTTGTCTATATTGTTTCTTTTAATTTGATTAAAATATATTCTTAATATTATAAAGTTACGTTTTAATTATTCTCAAGTCTACTTTGGAATGTCAGTTTAAACACCAAAACCGACTAATATAGAACACCATAACTAAATTGATTAAACTAATGAAATTGTGGTTTTTAAGTTTAAGGAGTGTATAAAAAAAGGGGCCGCTGAAAAATATTTGATTTTCTAAGGGGGAGGTAAAAGAAATAAGTTTGATAGTGTCTGATTTAAAGTGAAGTGATTTGGAGTTTTGGCGGGAGCTTGAACGTTGAGGGCGTAGAGGGTTGCTGCTCTTGTATTATTGTTTAAATAATGGTTCGAAGTGGATTTTGATATGTAAAGTGATGCGATTTTGTGTATTAAGTGTTTGCGCATGTGAACTATTAGTGGAAACGGTGAAACAAGTGCTCTGGATTCTCAAAATAAGGTGTCTATCTGCATAAGCGCTTTGAGATACCATCGTCAACTGTCAGCTGTCTGCTGGCTAAAGTTGCAAGTCAAAATCTCTAAAGGGCTGCACAGTGCACAAAGTAACGCATCAACTTATTGTGAAGCAGTGTACTATGAAGGATGATTAAATGTGACTTCAGGCTCAGAAGAGCTAGAACCCAGAGCCGTAAAGCCAGTTATAAAAAAAGGAAAAAGAAGTGATTTCTGATTTCTGTTTCCATAGATAAATATATATGTAGCAAGCTGTCTGTTTCTGAAAATTAATTCTAATGAAATTTGTATTTTGATTGTGATTAACATATTACTTTATAATTTGTGATGTGATTTAAGTTTTTCTGCATTGTTAATTTGGAATAAAGATGGCTCTATGTTGTGCAAGTAAGTGAAGTTAGAAGTTCATAAACAATTGGTAGCATGTAAATCATGCCGGTAAATTCATAATAGGTTAATATTTTGGCCTAAAAGTTTAATAATATAGCCTGTAGTTAAAAAAGTTTTAAAAAAGTGCATTATAACTAATAATTTAAGCAGCAAAAGTTTTCATATAATTTAGTAGAAAATATAACCTATTTGTTCATTTTCCAGTATCAAATGAAGTGCCAGAAGTGCCTGTTGTTTCTCCATCGTCAGGTGCTATTTTTGAGAAAAGAATTATAGAAAAATACATTATTGAAAATGGTGTAGATCCTATTAGTGGGAAAGAATTGCGTGTGGAAGATCTAATTGAAATTAAAAGTAAGTTATATTACAGATACATAAAATTGAAATAGTGCAGTTATTTTTCGTAAAATTTAAATTGTGATGCAGAATTTTTCTAAGGAAGATCAACTTGTCGAATAATTAAAACAAATGTTTGTAATGAAGTTATATATTTCAACAACATTAATTTAATCTGCATAAGTATTTGAACGAATTTTTATACGGGATCCGCAGTAGACTTAAATTTTTTTTGTGCACAATAATTATTATCTTGATCAATCTCACAGTTTCAAGCTTAGGAAACAAATACTTCGTGAAGTAAAAAATTCCAAACTTTGCTAAATTAACCTGAAATTTGGAAGTGTTTTATTGCTTTTGACATAATTTTGACCATAGGTGTTGCTATGGTTCGGTTTTAGTAATTTGCGGCACGATTTATGTGATCATTTTAGCTTTAGGTGAAAGACAATGATGCTATTGATTACCATCTAGCTGCTTTTTATGCCGGAAATATTTAGTGTTCGAGATATCGATAATTATAGTTTTGAGGTTATATCCATTTTAAAATGATACGAAAACGAAATAACAATATAATTATTAGAGAGTCTGTCACTGTGGGGAGGTCAAGGGGCTTACCTCAAGTGCCCCCATGCAATTTTAGTTGCCGGAGTTGCATCGAAATATTTAAAATTATTTTCTAAAAATATTCATAAATCACTAATTAATACCTGAAACTGAACTTTTGACATTGACAGCCACAGATAAACTCGACCAAAGAGAATATAATCACTCCGTTTTACGTTTATTTTCGACTTCGCGACTCGCGTCATAAGCGTCATTCCGTTGCTTCCGAGTTTACGTGAATGTGCTCCTTATTGTTATTATATGCCTCTGATTTTTGAGACCCCTCTGGAGACCGATTGCTTGCTATTTTAAGACGTTTTTGGAAATGGTGGAAGTAATAAAATATTTTTATTTATTAAAGTAATAATAAAAGTAAACATTCTGTTGGTGCTAGAGCGAGCGAAGCGAGCTCGGGACTTGGGGCACCCCGACTCGGACAGGTTAGGTTAGAAGGGGATGGCGGGGTCGAGTGAGCGAGCGAAGCGTGCGAACAGACCCCTCCATCCCCTTCGTTTTTTTATAAACCATCCAGAAATAGGAGCCCTGCGAAGCATGGCTCCGTCGACCGAGCTTCCCTCGCCTGCGCCACGTTGAGTAGCGTTGGGCTACCCTCCCCAACTCTCCCCCCCACAAATCAGGTTTATATTGTCAAAAATATTACGAAAACATAACCTCAAAATGAGATTTATAAAAAAACTAAACACGTCCGGCAGAAAATGGAAGTGGGGGGTGACTCTACAACTCCCCCCCCCTCCCTCGCCCTCTCGGCGACCATATATTCATGCCGCAGATTACTAAAGAAATATCGTTGCTATTTTAGGGAGTTTTAAAAACACATTATTGTTTTGATATTGCAAATAAGAAGTTGACATGAACTTTTTTTTAAATCACATTGTTTTTTGTTATTTTATTCGGGTTAAACAATTTCACAGTGGTTTGAGCTTTTTTGAGTGAATTATTAAGAAAATTTAAGTTTTTAAATATTGACGGGTTAAAGAATCGACTACCGACTTGGCACGACCGATGGAGAACCCCAACTTTAACAGGTTAGGTTCTTAGTTCACTCGCTTTGCTTGCTTACTAGATCCCGCCATCACCTTCGTGTTAGGTTACTTTAAACCCTGCAACCGTATAAGGGGGCCCCCCCTAACCCTCCCCCCATAAATCAGGTTTATAATATTAAAAACATTACAAAAACAACCTCAAAATCCGATTTTAAAAAATTCATAAAAAATATGCATTCCTAAACTTTTCCCATGCGGGGGGTGGATCTCCACCCCTCCCCATCCCCTCCCTGTCCCCTCCCACCACCTCAAATATACATATATTTACATCCCTTATATAAAAGTCCTTCTATTTGAACAAAGTAGTTGTCACAACTCAGTTGAAGTTAAGTAAAATTTTATGTTATTAACCTTGAAGTCTTCAATGTATGCTCACTGCCTGTGAGAGTGTGGTAATTCCCTGGTCGAGTTGACCCATTTATGTTATAACCATAATATAGAATTATAATATTATGATATCTGCATAATATTGTCCCTAGCTCCACCAATTGTAAAACCGAAGCCTCCCAGTGCTACATCAATCCCAGCCACATTAAAGAGTATGCAAGATGAGTGGGATGCTCTCATGCTTCACACATTCACTCAACGTCAACAACTCCAGACTGCAAGACAGGTAAGTACATAGAATTAATACCAAAAAACTCATTCTACAATATGTATGTACATAAAGAAATCAATTTTTATTTTATTTGATTTCTGTGGTAAAGCCATGCTGCAGCTATATTAGTAGTATAGTTGTAGCACGAATGTGTCAGCTCGACCGGGGAAAGACCGCACTCTCACAGAATACCAGCGTAAAATGGCAGCTTGACACTGCTGTGTTTCATATGGTGAGTATAGAGAACCGGTGACCCATTTTCCTGGAAATGAGGCATTCCATCTTAGTCCTCACGGGTGATGACACGTCTGCATTTCGATTCTTTATTGAGGATAAATGTAGATGTCTATGGGTCACAGCAACCACTTACCATCAGGTGGACAGTATGCTAGTTTGTCACCCTATCCTATAAAAAAAAAGTGATGAGTCAAAAGTTCACCCAATAGCGATTGCAGCAGACATATAAATCAAGAAAGGTCTGTTGTCACCTCTTATGGTGGAAGAGCATTTGTATGCACCAAAAAGTAGGAGTGTATGAAATGTTATGAAACCTCTTACTATCATTTGTCTTTACAGTTAATTGTATATAACATTTGTTTGTATAATAATAAATAATATTTGTTTCATGAGGATTGTTACTTGATCTATGATAAACTTTAAAATTCTTATAAAAAATGGCATGATATATTGTAGTCCAAAAATAATCTGCCTAAAAATAATTAACTTTAAGGCTGATGGATAAGTCCAAAGCAAAATATGTAGTACTCATTTTCTTTTATTTCAATAACATAATATTCAAAAATAGTGATGTGTATTCTGTAAAACTATAAACAAGAAGCACAAGCTAGTAATACCAGTTACTTGACTCCAAGGAGTCAGTAATTGCACTATTACAACAAAGTCCTACAAAATATGTAATTGTTTACTAAAGATACTAAATACATAATATACTTAATACATAATTGGATAAGGTGAGAGAAATTATACTTTGTGATATGCAATAAAACAACATATTATGCTCGGTTTCTGAAGTACTTTTATCGGCAGTTTACCTATTTGTTAGCGCTATTGGTTCGATAACATAAGAAAGTGTGTTTCCAAACATCGCAATATAAGATAAACTCCGTTTAAGCTAAGTTTAATTTAACTGGCCAATATGTGCTGTTTATCGGTTCTATAACTTTATTTGGCGTTTAATTTGAAGCAAACTACATCAACTTTTAGGTTATAACGTGTTATTATTAAAATAAATTGCCAGTGGGCGCTAAATACTAAAATATTCAAGGGATAAAATAATTATTAATAGAGTACGAGTACTCTTCTCTCTTTCAGAAAATTTTTTACTACGTTTTCCAGATTCCATAATGTTTTGGATAACGCAAAAACGATAGTAAATACCACTAAACTTAAAATCAGAAAGTTATGGAGAATAAAACCTTAAAATAAAAACTTTTGAATAAAAGCAATGAGTTTGATGTTTTCTTTTTTAACAATTTGACAATACAATGATGTCATTCATACTGTTTCTGATAAATATGGAATTATCATATTTTATTACTAAAACAGTGCATATCCTCGTATTTAGCGTCAAAAAATATATTTTATAAATAATACTAGTATAAATGAAGACTTGAAATTAAAAAATCAATTTTAGACTCAATGTCTTAAACAGACCCATCTAGCGGCAAATTATAGTACTTGTTAATGGTTTCATAGTTGTTAAGGGGCTACTCCATGCGAACGACCTTGAGCATTTTGCCAGCGGCGCGCCGCTCGCTTCAATATATTGCTTAATATGAAATATGTAAGACGCCACCTATTGTAGATAAGAACGTATTATTTTTTCAACATCAATAAACTAATTTATGGAAATACACACAGCGTACAACGATAAATGTATTTTAATTTTTTTATTCGGTATATTAGTTGCATTATATTTGAATTATGTATTTTCATATATTATCTAATTATGAAATTTTATAATTAATTATATATTAAAAATGAAGCATTGAAAATTGTGAGTTTAAAAGATACCTATTCACTATAGGTAAATAAATAGATAGCTCGCCTTTTGTACAAATATTTGGTGCAATAAAGAATAAATAAATAAATAGGATGTTTCGCAGATGTGTTTTTGATTATTGTTAATTTTTACGTGTCACGTATTGAAAAGTAACATACCTACTGATTAGGAATTTGATCTCTTTTTAATAGTAAAATGCAGTAATTTGCTCAATCGACCTTTACTTGATCTCTAAATTTTACAACGACGACAGGTACAACATTTTTTTAAACATACCTACACAGCTTACGGACTAATATTGGCATGAGAACTGCTAATATAATTTGACAGGCGCTTCAACATGCCCCCCGGCGTTGAAAGTCTACCTTTCAACCAGATTCTTCAGGTTCAGGAAGCGGACAAATTTTGCTAAATGATCGGCGAACTATACCAGTCGATGTTTTGATATCCGCCACCCTTGATACGCCGTCCGAGCCTGGATGGACTGCGACGATGCGACCCATCTTCCACTTTAATGGCGGTGAATTCTCCTCTTTTAGGAGTACCAGTGAATTTAACTTCAAAGAGCCTTTACAGGAACGCCATTTCATCCGCAGTTGAAGCTCTGATATATATTCCTTGCTCCATCTAGCCCAAAAATGTTGACGTAATTGTTCTATTCGTTGAAATCGGGTTAAAGAGCTTACGGAATGATCTTTATAGTCTGGTGTCGGCAAGGAAGTCAAGGGGCGTCCAATCAAAAAATGACCGGGCGTTAGTGGTAGCAAGTCTTCAGGATTCGTTGACAAAGGTGTGAGTGGTCTGGAGTTAAGTATAGCCTCAATTTGTATTAATGTGGTATTTAGTTCCTCGTAAGTCACATTACAATTGCCCAGCACTCTAACTAAATGATATTTAATGCATTTGACACCAGCCTCCGCAAGCCCAGCAAAATGGGGAGAATAAGGCGGTATGAAATGGAAATTAATTCCTTCATTTGCCATTACCTCAGATAAAGAATTACAATACGTCCTAATAAATTTTGAAATGTCATTGTATGCGCCTACAAAGGAGGTACCATTATCCGAATAAATATTAAGAGGTTTCCCTCTTCTAGACATAAATCTGCGCAAAGCTAATATGAAGGTATTGCTAGTTAAATCACCCACTAATTCAAGATGAATTGACTTAGTCGCGAAGCAAATAAAAATAGCTATATACACCTTTACAATTTTACAACCACGGCCATGGCGAGAAACAGATTGAATTGGTCCCGCATAGTCTAGTCCAATATTTTGAAATGGAAAACCAGAAAGGATGCGTTGGTGTGGTAGGTTGCCCATTATTGGAGAGATGGTTTTTCCTTTCATTCTATTACATCTTACACATTGTCGATAACAAGATCTGGCCAAATTACGACCTCTAATCGGCCAGTACATCTCTCTTATAGTGGCCAACATTAGCTGTGGTCCCGCGTGCATTAACCTTATGTGCTCATAATTGAAGAGCAATTTGGTAAAATAATGAGTGGACTGTATAAGTATGGGATGTTTTTTCTCATAACAGTAATCGGAATTTTCAAGACGCCCTCCAACACGCATTATTTTATTATCATCGAGAAATACATTAAATTTATGCAACGGACTTTTAGTGGGTAAACTTTTATTTTTAATTAACATGGTGTATTCCTCAAATGATTCACTCTGGGATATTCTTATAATAACATTGAGTGCGGTTTGCAACTCTTGATTGCTTAGAGGACCGTGAACGGATTGCTTTCTACAATTATTAATAAAACGCAGCACATAAGCAACGGTCCGATTTAATCTAGTATATTTAGAAAAGCGTTTAAATTCAATTAATTTATTCCCACCTAAATCTTCATTGTTGCTAGAATGAAGTATTCCGTGGAGGATAACATTTGACGATTTAATCTCAGGCAACTCGTGATTAATACTTAAGAAATTTGCAGGCCAGTGAGAGACCTCTTTCTTTAAAAATTCAGGTCCTGACCACCACTTACTCATGGATGAAATATCCTTACAACTCACACCGCGAGAAATATGATCGGCCGGATTACACTCTGTTGGGACATGCCTCCACTCGCAATTTCCAGTCTTCTCTAATATTTCAGCAACCCTATTTCTGACAAAGGGTTGTAGCTTGCTAGGTAACACCTTTAACCATCCTAACACGATGGACGAATCTGTCCAAAAGAAAGTGCGCTTAGCCTGTTGTCTCAGCGATGCTACAACCTTTTGGTAAAGGCGAGCTCCAACAAGTGCACCACAAAGTTCCAGTCTTGGGATTGTTATAGGTTTAAGCGGCGCGACACGACTTTTCGCCATCAATAATTGAATTAAAACCTCACCCTGATCATTAACACTACGCACATATAAACAGGCGCCATATGCTCGCTCAGAAGCGTCCGAGAAAATATGAAATTCAAACCAACTAGGCGAGTCACAAATAACACGACGTGGAATACGTAGAGTATTTAATTTAGGTAAATCGACTATTATCTCAGCCCACATCTTGCTGATTTCTGGCGTCAACTGCTCATCCCATGACAGCTTGAGCAGCCACAACTCTTGAAGAAGTATCTTCATCTTAATTACACAGGCAGATAGAAGTCCTAGTGGATCAAAAATCTGAGAAATCACAGATAACATATCACGCTTTGTTTTACCTGAGAATAGCCCTCCTATAGGGAAACAAAGTTGGTCAGTATGTGATTGCCAACCAAGGCCTAAAGTTTTACTCGGTTCAAAGTCACCAATATTTAAATCAAGCGGAGAACTATCATTTTCACTAACCAGTTGAGATTCATTCGACTTCCACTTTCGCAAAACCATATGAGCTGATGCAAGTGTGGAAGTCACTTTACGGCGCAAATCTATAATCTCGTTAATATCATCCCCTCCCGTTAGCAAGTCATCAACGTAAAAATCGTGAATGATCACTTGAGCAACCTTGTCATCGGTACACTCTAAGCCTAATTGTTGGAGGCACC